GTACATATACACAATGGAATATTATTCAGCCATAAGAAGAAAACAAATCCTACCATTTGCAACAACATGGATAGAGCTACAGGGTATTATGCTCAGGGAAATAAGCCAGGCGGAGAAAGACAAGTACTAAATGATTTCACTCATCTGTGAAGTATAAGAACAAAGCAAAACTGAAGGAACAAACAGCAGCAGACTTACAGAACCCAAGAATGGACTAACAGTTACCAAAGGGAAGAGGTGGGGAGGGTGGGGAGGGAGGGAGGGTGAAGGGGATTAAGGGGCATTATGATTAGCACACATAATGTAAAGGTGTCACAGGGAAGGCAGTACAGCACAGAGAAGACAAGTAGTGACTCTGTGGCATCTTACTACACTGATGGACAGTGACTGTAATGGGGTATGTGGGGGGGACTTGATAATATGGGTGAGTGTTGTAACCACAATGTTGTTCATGTGAAACCTTCATAAGATTGTATATCAATGATATCTTAAGAAAAAAGAAATATATATATATATATATAAAGTTTTTAAAAAATGAAATAGCCAAGAGAGAAACCATAAATAAGTACATAAATAAATAAATAAATACAGTTCCCTACCAAAAAAAAACCAGCATCTCAAAAATATTCATGCAACATTATTCACAATAGCCAAGATATGGAAATAACCTTAAATGTTCGTCAATGGCTGAATGGGTAAAGGAGATGTGGTATAGCCATATGGAAAAATGTTATTCAACCTTTAAAAAGAAGAAAATTCTGCCATTTGCAAAAATCTGGATGAACCTGGAAGACATGATGCTAAGTACAATAAGCCACAGAAGGCTAGAAACTGCCTGCTTCCACTTAGATGAGGAGTCTGAAGTAGTCAGCCTCACAGAAACAGAGTAGAAGGGTAGTCACTCATCCTCTCTTCTCACTCGAACCTCATCCGTAAGGACTTCTGGAGGCAAAAGCTAAACCGACAGGCTCCTGGTACTGCTGCTGACCAGGTCTAAACTCCCCAGGCTTGAGGACCACATGGCATGCTCCCCTAGACCTCCCGTCCCAGGTCTAGCAACTCCCCTAAAGCTTCAGGCGTAAGCCCCTGCATCCTTAAAGCAAGGAGTTCAGACTGGCCAGTGACAACTTCTCCAGACGACGCATCTGCCAAGCTTGACTCAGCGAACCATGATGGTATTTTTGACAACACGGTGGGTAAGGAAGCTATTTAACAAAGGGTATGTTTTTGGCCAAGGCTCTCATAAATCATGTGAGCAGTCACCAGCTCATGATTATACCCATGTCTAGACATAGACTGCATTTGATCTCTGCAGCCTCCTTCCTACCAAATAAAAGCAGCAGAAGACATTTTTCCACCTAAAGCTACTTAAAAATCCAGGCATCAATGTCCTGAGACTCAAGAAAACTGGAGCTCATGCTGAGACTCACAGCCTTGTTCTCAACAAAGCACAGACAGGCTTTGCACGGCCCCTAACAAGGTGTTAGTTGGCACCCCCGCAGAGCTCAGAGAAGCGTCCACAGAATTCCACATGCCCAGAGCAACTTCAGCGTATACCATCCTGGCCTGCTGGAGTCCAGTTCCTGACAGTGTTGGAAGCTCATTTCCTGCAAGATGCCTTGAATATCAAGCTATGAAAACATAACAATGGCCAGCGCTATAGATAAAACACTTGCCTCAGTACTGTCGTGTGCCTGTGCCCCCTCTGCGCTACAGCAGGTCCACGTTTCCCTGGTGAGTTTCCTTGAATTCCTGCCGAGTCCCAAGACTGCTCCTGAAAGGACAAGAGAGATAGGAAGTGTCAGCACAAAGTCAGAGGTGGGAAGCTAACAGCGGACATCACTGCCAGGATCCCTCAGTGGCCCCAGAAATCCTGCACCACCAGGGGTGTCCCTGAGCCTCAGAGGCTGGGGTGCGACCATGGGGGGGCCTGCAGGGGCCGGGCAAATAAGCCGCTGAGACTGACGGGTACACAGCGCCCAGTCCCACTCCTCTCAGTTAGTCCCTGCCCTGTGGCCCCCATCCTGTGGCTGCTATCCTGTGGCCCTGTCCTATGGCCCCATCCTTACTGGGCCTGCAGAGCCCAGTTTTAGCAGGAAACCCAAGTCCTTTTAGAGGGAATCCCTCACTGATATATGTACAAATGTCACCTCCCACCACCCCCTGGTGACATCTGATCACCTGGCCTGCCTCCAGCAAGAATCCTGTTAGGTCATCTTGGCCAAAGCCCCCTGCCCTTGATGTCCCCTCTTAGTCTTCCACCCACTGGCCCCCCACCCTGCTCCTGTGCTATGAATCCCCACTAGTTCTTGCTGAATTCAGAACTGAGCCCAGTCTCTCACCCTGTTGGGGGTCTGGACACCTATCATGACAGTCCTCAGTAAATCTTCCTCTTTTAACAAGTATCAGGATGTTGTTCTTTCACAGACACCAAAGGAAAAGGCATACTGGCTTTGTTAAGTGGGGGAACCAAGCCCTGTGTGTAACGTGCTTAGGCTGGAAGAGAAGGAGCCGGGCACAGGAAGCGCGATGGATGGCATTCCACAGAGAACCACGCCACGGGCCTGCCCCACAGCGTCAGAGTCGGGGCTGCAGCAGAAAGCTTGGCAGGTCCAAACACAGAGTGGGCCAGCGCGGCGGGAAAGGGGTCGGGACTGGAATGGCAGAAGCTGTCGAGGGGGAGGAAAGGGGCCTGGCACGAATACTTTATATACATTAATGAGTCTCCTTTCGGGGAAAGGGGTGGTCACAGAAGGTTTATAAGTAGTTGCATGTCATGTGCAAGTGACAAATGAGAAGAGGTGGTAGTTAACTTTGACTTCATATCTACTATTCTTTTGTAGATATACCATCTCCTGTCCCCCCGTAGATTCATGATCTTTCTAAAACTGTTAGCTCGAGACTCAGGCAGAGCTGCACAGCCCTGAAGTTTCCCAAGAGGTGAGGAAAAAGGATGTAGAGTAAAGCTGCAAGCTGAATTCGGAAGTTCTCTTTACTGAAGCTCAAGGGACCCAGATGTCATTACACTGCACGGCTGTGCCCAGCTCTCGCTAAGGCATACCCTGACTTACAGGGATACCGGATCGCCAGAGAGGCAGGGAAACAATGCCGGGCTTTAGAAAAGCTCAGATGTCTTTCCCAGTGCAGAGTAACATTTTCCAAGCAGCCTGCCCAGTAAGGGATGCACAGGACAGAAGAGGAAAATATCAGACTTAGGTCTTCTATTTCCCAGCCACAAACTCACCCCTATACTACGTCTATTCATAGGTCATAGGGTAAAGAGCACATTATAGAGGCCTCGTTGAGTTTCTTACATCCTGAGAAAGCTTCCCAAAGTGGTGAGACAACAATGCCTTTCATTGGAAGTTCACATTCAGAAGATACACAAAGAGCCAGCAGCATTTGAAAATATGCTCATCACCTTTAGAGCAACACAAATCAAAGTCACACTGAGATCCACTCATACCCATTAGGATAACTACAATATTTTTTTAAAATGGAATATAACAATGTTAATGAGAATGTGGAAAAATTGGAACTCTCATACCTTGCTGGTAGGAGTTAGGCATGATGCAGCCACTGTGGAAAACAGCTTAGCAGTTTCCAAAAAATTAAATATAGAATTACCATATGAACCAGCAATTCCACTCCTAACTGTATACCCAAAAGAATTGAAAACAGGAAATCAAGCATATGTACACACATGATGATAGCAGCCCCATTCACAACAGACAAAAGGTAGGGACAACACAAATCTGTCCACCACGGATGAGCAGATAAACCCACGTACTATTACCCAGCTGTGAAATGGAATGAACTTCTGAAATCTGTTAAGGCATAAATCAGCCTCGGAAACATTATGCTCAGTGAAAGAAGCCAGTCATAAGAGACTGTATATTATATGATTCTACATATATAAATACCCAGAATAGGTAAACCATGGAGGCAAAAAGCAGACTGGTATTTGCCAGGGGTGAGGGGTGTAGGGGAGGCAGTGCAGAGAACGGGAACTATTTAAAAGGTACACGGTTTCCTTTGTGGGGTGACAAAAGTGGTTTGGGACTGAACAGGGGTGGTGGTTACACAACATTATGAATCAAGCAGCAGATAAAGATAAAGCCAATCAGGAGTTAGAATTAACAGGATGCCAACTATTGATGTGCTTGGAGACACTCTGGTTTATAAGACAGACAAGAACAGATTGAATGTGCCGTAGTTAACACAAAGCTAAACCCTAACATGAGTATATTTTCACTTAAGTGTGAATCAAGTGTGATGTAAGCGTGGGGTAACAGCCCCCGCTGCTCACGTGCCATCCTCCTGGCCCCGAATCCTACCCTTCTCCTTTTATATCAGCAAGGGGAAGATGAGATACCTTTCTGGAGAAGACTCCCGGAGAGATGGAAGGGAGGGAGGGAGGGAGGGGGAGAGGGAGAGAGGGATAGAGGAAGGGCCTATGCTATATCTGAAAGAAAAGAAACCATACATCCTATGCCACAAAACCCAACTCTAAATGGGGTCTCAACAGTGGTAGTGACGTAAGCACCGACGGGTGAACTGAGCCTGGCACACCTTCCCCGAGGTAGCCGTGGGCAGGTTCACGCTCACAGAATAAGAGAAGGGAAAGCAATGGAGACAGAGCAAAACTACATTAAGGTGGAACTTGCCCCTAATTGCTCCAACTTATTGATCAAATACTCAGCAAGAAACACAACTTTAAAAGCTCCCAAGCACATGTAATAACTCAAACCATTAACAATGTGTTGCCAAGTAGAAAGCTTTTGAGCACCTGCTTTAATGAAAATAATATAATTAGCAAACTGATTAGAGTCAAAGTGCTGCTTGAAAACAGTTTTTCTGAAGGAAGATGTGCATCCCCCAGGGCATTATGATCATTATTAACTAGCTTAGACTTAAGGATAAAGCCTCCCTAACAGCTGAAAGGAGTGGGAGCGGGGGTGCTTCCAGGGGGCAGTTTTGCCCTCCCAACATCCATTTTCCCTACTTTTGGTAAAGAGCACATTGACCTTCTTGGATGCTGCATTTCTCTGTCCTTTGTCTGGGTGGGGCTGTGTCCACCTTCCGCTGCAGGGGTGAACATGTGACCCAGCCTGGACAAACCGAACATTCAGCTCCCTAAGCAGGTGGCACAGGACTCAGCCCAGTACCACCTGAGGGACGTGACCCCAGAGTTCTCAGCAGCGGGGCTTTCCTCTGCTGGAATTGTTGGCAATGAGAGAGCTAGCAACAGGCCCGGACCTGCCACCTTGTACCAGGTGGAACAGCCAAAATTACAAAAATCAAAGTCTTTGAAGGGAAGGGAGATACCCTGAGTGGATTTATGTGAGTTCCTGGATCCAGTCATGCCTGAATCTATCCCTGGAAGCTTCAGTTAAGTCACCCAATAAATTGCTTGTTTTTAATTAAGGCAATTAAACTTAGAGTTACTTGTGAACCAAACAGTCCTAGCCAATATTATTTCTTTGCTTTCTGAAGAAAGTCAACCTTTTTCTCATGGCACAAATGAAATTTCCTGTCCAGCTCTGTGCAAACTTAAACCAACTCCACATAAGTAAGGACTAAATTGGGTGTTTGGTTATACTCGTCCTGGGAAATGACTAGGGTTTGTGTCTTGGAGAAGGTTCACCCAAGGCTGGCAAAATGCCCATAGAGACTTCCCGCCCAGGGTCACACAGCTGACTTATCTCTAAGCCAACGAAGAGAAGTACCCAGCCAAGCACCAAGAGTGTTTTATGACAAAGATGCACAGGAGCACCGTGCAGGCCACACACTGTCTCCTTTTCAGCTGCACAGTCACTTAGAAACTTGGGATATTAATCTTGCCTCATGGAGACCTGGCAGTACCAATCAGCAGCTTAAGTTGGTGGGATACACCCTGTATTTGTTTCCAGAATCATCTTCTCTATTGGGACGTATCTGATTGGGTCCAGCATAAAACACTCCCATGTTGCCAGAGGTCTGCACGGCTGCCCCCAGGGCTGTCGAGCCCCCTCAGGTCCAGCCCACGCATGTTTGTCTTTGGCTTAGTACTGATCTGGCCAGTTGACTCAAAGGCACAGCACGGAAGGCAGGAGCCAGAGCGACGGAACCCCAAGTTTAACCTGGAGGAGCTGTTTCTCCAACAGAGAGTAGCTTGCTGTGCGAGGCATAGCCCTGGTCCTAGGGCTCCATGGCACAACTCTTCCAAGCTGTTGAGGGTCAGCTTCCTGATCCAATGTGGATGCATCAGACCCGCCAGGCTAAGTGTCTCCAGTGGCAGGACAGCTTGCCCCCTGGCCTGCACTCTCTCCGGAGTCCTCTTGTCCTGCCTCTCTTGAACTGGCAGCCTTTCCACCACCCTCCAGTTAACGGTGGCAGCAAAATTCCCCACAGTGGCATGTGCTTCTTCCAAGATCTGCAGAGGCATTGCAAGCACAGTGCCTCTTTCCTAGCAGGAAGTCAGCCAAGGTTCCATAACCCTTCACTCACCGTAAAGGAGTCCTGACATGTCCCAGACCATCGCACCCCTGTAAGCTTTACCGATGGGGCAGGCTCCCAGATATTCACGGGGTTCTATCTATCACCCTGTGGCTCTCATGGGAATTACTGGGGCATTTAAGGTAATTGCTCCTTTCTGTTCATCAGATCCAATTAGTATTTTGTCATCAGTATTAAGGGCCCGTGTGGTATCGCGTGGCATGCTGAGATGTTAGAGGTGTCTGTAGACTACACTATGGCACACAAAGGAATGGTCCACAGAGCCACACAGCAAGA